GGAGGCTGAGGCAGGAGGATCGCTTGAGCCCAGGAGTTTGAGGTTGCTGTGAGCTAGGCTGACGCCACAGCACTCACTCTAGCCTGGGCAGCAAAACGAGACTCTATCTCAAAAAAAAAAGAATTGTGGCCAATTTTGCATCAAGCTACAACACTGTGGCTTCCTCCACTGCCCTGCAGGAGGTGAGCACAAAGGTGCTTGAGAGTGGTGCTCACGATGGACATGGGTTCAAATCCCATGTCTGGAACACAGTAGCTGTGGCACCTCAGGCAAGTGAGTTCACCTCTCTGGGCCTCGGTTTGCACACCTGGGAAATGGGGATGGTGGTGATCCCGGCCCGGTGGGATTGCTGTGCGGAGATGCAGACAGCGCTAGGGAGGTGCTGAGGATGGCGGCCCGCATGTAGCAGGCGCTCAATCGCAGGCAGAAGTTATCCTTTGACACTGGGGAAACTGAGGCTCAGAAACTGGGCTGATGGAGTCCACTGGGGCTCCCAGCCTACCAGGCCCCTCACCCCTGCCCCGAGAGAGAGCACCAAAGTGGGGTTGGGGCATGTCCCTCTGCCCCTGTCTCTCTCTGTCCCCCCGACCCCCATCCACAGGGTCCTCGGGCCCCGCTTCTCCTTCTGTGTTCAGCTGAAGTCTCTCGGTCAGAGCAGGGGCCTGCATCCCGTCACATCGCCCTCGGGTCCCCTGCTGTCCAAGCACCTTCCCCGTCCTGTCCTCAGAGCCTCCTGGGACCGGTCTCGGGCACCGCCAGCCACGTTCACAGCCTCCAGGTTCAGGGTCCCTGGACACGCTGTGTCACGCTGGGCACGGCGGGGGGGCACCATGAAAAATGTGTTCCTGGACTCCCTGAGTCCCTTCCGGGTGGGCCCTAGACAGAGAGATGCACAAAGAGACAGACGCAGTGCTATAAACAGACACTCGGATGCAAAGATCCACACGTATCAGAAACACGCGAGAAACAAACGATATGCCACACTCAAACACAGTCACACGCAGGTGTGGGAGCACACACACAGACACACACAGACACTGGGAAACTCAAGGAAGACCCGCAGGCTAACCACACGCACACTCTGTCTCCACACTCACGCACGTTTGCACAAAGTCTCGCTCAAATGTGTTGTTGCACACTCACTCGCACGCAGCTGCACACTCGCGCTCACGCTCACACCTTCACGCACGTGTTCACGGACTGACACGAGCGTGCTCACAGATGTGCTCACACGTGCAGACACGTGTTCGCACTCGCACACGCATGCTCGCACAAACACGTGGTCCCACACAATCACATGTTTCTGCTGGCTCCTACACATTCGGGCCCACTCACTCACGCTCACGGCCTTGCACGGACGCTGATGTTCATGTGCGCACACGCCCAGCTCCAGGACGAGCCGCTCAGCTCCACGGAGGCCGCGACCCAGACCTGGTGGG